CCTTTGGTCACTCATGCCAATGCCAAACGTCGGTTTCAATGGTGCAAGGAGCGCAAATCTTGGGCTGTGGACAATGTGAAACATGTATTGTTCTCTGATGAGTCCACCTTTACTGTTTTCCCCACATCCAGGAGAGTTACGGTGTGGAGAAGCCCCAAAGAAGCGTACCACCCAGACTGTTGCATGCCCAGAGTGAAGCATGGTGGTGGATCAGTGATGGTTTGGGCTGCCATATCATGGCATTCCCTATTAAGTGATTGTTTCCTTTGAACAATGACATTACTTTTATGTTTCAAATTGCTGAAACGAAAGAAAAATGCACCTAGCAAGAGAACTGTACTTGGTGAACAAAAGTGCTAAAAGGGATTACCTTCACAATTTAGAAACTGTACCTCAATGGTTCACAGCCCTGGTCCTCAGGGACCCCTTCCCTGCAAGTTTTAGATGTGTGTCTGCTCCAGCACACCTGATCAAACTCTGACATGACCTCCTATACAGGCATCAAGAATGGAGGGTCAAACTGGACAAAATTAAAACAATAAAACTCATTAAATAAATAATTTTTGAATGTCCCATAAGTAAAGTAAAATGTAACATGAAAAAAATGTAACAATAAATGTGCCATTAAATAAAAGGTACCATTTAATTTTTTTATACATCAGTAGAAAAAATGATGTACCATTATATCATGAATGTATAATTTTAAAGACAACATGACGTAATTAGTGGTACACCTAATGTTAATGATGTATTAGAATAAATTGTACATTTTAATGGTACATTCAATTTTTTTCTATTTCACAACGTATTTTTAATATCTTCCCTGATGAAGCCTTTTAACGGAGCACGCGAGGGACGGGGGGAATTTTTTTTTTTCTTTTGCGTCCCACGCAATACTTTTTGCGTTCCCACGCAATACTTTTTTTGCGTTCTCACGCATTTTTTTTTTGCGTTTTCACGCAATACTTTGTGGGATATTTTCAAACCAGATAACAAAAAATGGAAAAACACTACCCCCGTTTTTGGATTTATTGAGTTTTACTTTGAAAATCGGCCTGAAATAAAATATTTTCAATCAGACTTAAAGACAGTTATGATCCACAAGCTGAAAACTACTGAACTCTGGAAATAATACTGCACGAAACCACATCTGTGACACTTTATTTGGAAATTGCTGCTGCATGAGTGTACTTTTTTTTGCACGCCTTATTGTTTTTTTTTTTTTTCTGGATTTTGAAGGGTTTTCTTTTTTTCCTAAGCATTTAATCGCATTGTTGACTACATCTTAACCTGCATATGACAAATAACCATATCAGTGCTGTTTTTTTTGTAAGCAGTTTGTCAAATGTGCTGCTGTTCCAAAAATGCACAGCTTTCCAACAACTTTTGCAAGCAAACGCAAAAGTTTGGTGGGGGGATGCGAAAAGAAAAATAAATTCCCCCCCTGTCCCCTCACGGCCTCTGTACCTTTCCCCTCTACTGTGGCAAGCCTCTTAAATCTTTAGTGCACATGCGGGAATTTTTTTGGGCAGATAAACTTGACACGTGATGGTACTTTTCGCTTGACGAATGAAGAGATGCAGGGCTGATTCAATCCGAAATTTGCCTTACAAGTGTGCCCCTTAGTCACTGGTGTACTTATACGACAAACACGTTTTTCAAGCAGCATACTGCGTGTTAAAAACGCTACATTCAACTCTCCTGAAGTTCGATAATATTTGCGACTTTCCTGTCAGCTCTATGAGTTTAATAGATAAGTCCTTACTTCTCACTTTTTTCGTTGCAAATCCAATTTTTCCCCAAACCAGTTTTTCCCCTGTGTTTTTTCTCCCTCCATTTTGAACGCAGGTGGAAAACTCGATCAGAAGCACTGTTGCTTTTGGTTCGTGTAGTTCGTTTGACTCGCATTAAGTATAGGCTTCTTGGAAAAAAAACTACACAATGGCGGTGTCGAGCCAAGTTTTTTTTTCTTAAAGTTTTTATAACAAAGTCTCATTTTTACATTTTCCAAGACAATTGATCCTAGTTTATTTTTCCCTCCTATTGGTTAGCTCCCGCTCCCGTCTGCTCCCGTTCATTTTTTATCCTGTACCGTCCCAATCACGTGATCTTTACTAATGCTGTCTCCCATCCCGTGGGATTCCCATGGGAATCCCGTGACCCGTGGGATTCCCGAAAAAATGTCAGCCTCTACAGTGCAGTCAGAGTTAGTTATTTATTCAAATTGGATAAAAAGTTTTTCTGTCTAAGGAAACCCAGCAGATTGCAACCAATCAGAGACTTGCAGCATTCCCTCCTCCTGGTTGAGCATGTAGAGACAGTGGACAGTCACTGGCTTGACTTTGCAGCAATCCCTCATACTGAGCATGCATGTAACGAAAGTGGAGAGGAAAAACTCCCTTTTAACAGGAAGAAACCTCCAGCAGAACCAGACTCAGTGTGAGCGGCCAACTGCCACGACCGACTGGGGGTTTGAGAGAACAGAGCAGAGACACAAAGAGAACAAAGAAGCACTGATCCAGGAGTACTTTCTATGGGAAGGAAAAGTAAATGTTAATGGATGTAGCTCCTTTAGTCGTTTCACCTAGAAAGAAAGAACATATAAACTCTGAGCCAGTTTTCAAGGTTAGAGTCTGAAAGAGAGCACATAGAGTTAGTTACAGTAGAAGCTCAGTCAGTAGCCATGTCTAGGAGAGAGAAAGGGTTAAACACTGAAAGACAGGGCCATGTGGATCATCGGTAGAGGGTGAGCAAGAAGTTGTTGCCAGCAGAAGCTTGGACTATGCCCCTCTCCAGAAAGGTGTTACAGGTAGACACAGAGTCAGGCCAGGTGTAGCTTCTAGGAAGAGAAAAGAGAGAGAACAAAGTTAAAAGCTGAAATAACAGCAAATAATGCAAAATTGGAGAGTAGTGTGAGAATGTAGCAAAGAGGGTGAAAGTGGTCATTATGTCCTCCAGCAGCCTAAGCCTATAGCAGCATAACTACACAGAAAGTTTCATTTCAGATTATTTAGTTAAATGGCACTTATTTTCAACAATGTTGTTTCAAGGCACCCCACAAAGGGTCCCACTGATGGTCATTGTTATACTATAAACCACAAGGATTGGGATACCTCTCTCTGTCAGACAGATTATAACCGTTGGAAAAGAGAAAGGGTCATACAGGTAGCAGAAGTGGAGGGTGTGTTTGCACCTCAACCATAACTGAGCTGGTTTAGGCTAAACCTGACTCCCCCTTACTCAATCCAACAGGGAGGGAGGAAGGCTCCCTCCCTGATAAAGTAAGTCACTCTAACTATAAGCTCTATCAAAAAGGAAAGTTTTAAGCCTAGCCTTAAAAGTAGACAGGGTGTCCGCCACACAGACCAAAACCGGGAGCTGGTTCCACAGGAGAGGAGCCTGATAACTAAAGGATCTGCCTCCCATTCTACTTCTAGAGACTCTAGGAACCACCAGTAAACCTGCAGTCTGAGAACGAAGTGCTCTGTTAGGAACGTATGGAACAATCAGATCTCTGATGTATGATGGAGCTAAATCATTAAGGGCTTTATATGTGAGGAGGAGATGTTATGCAGTCTCTAGAATCAGATGTACTGTAGCAAAGACACTTGGACCCCAAAGACCAGGGTTGGCTGCAGAAGGTCAGACAAATAACCAGAAGCCTGTCCATTCAGTGTATGGAGAGCCTTTCCATTTAAAATTAAATAATTAAATACTGTAATAAATAATTAACATTTCATCAAATAATTAAATGTCCCCATTAAATAAAACAACATAAAATATTTAGCTTATTTTGTCATGTAATTATTTATCTACTTCAAAATGTATTTATGTAGAGTAATTATTAATTTATTTATGTATTTCATAATGGTGTTTCATTTTGTAACACTTTTATCTTGTAGAGCTACTGTGCGTATTTAAGGGACTTTATTATTTAACTTTTTCAGGATCTTTTTATTTTTGACGTTTTAATATTCAAATGAGGGGGCAGAGTTTTCTCTATCGTGCAGGTCTGGTCAGAGTGCAGCGACCCGAACTGCAGCAGAATAAAACAGTAACTAGCTGCAAAACATCGAATAAGGAGCAGGACTTGTGTGAGTGGGACGGACTTGGTTTTGACTTGGTTTTGTTGTCCACAGTCAGTGGGTAAAAGTTCAGTAAAACTCAAGGACCCACCAACACTGACAGGCTTTCGTCAGAAGCGTAAAATCCAATTTAAGGTTGATGCAAATGTAATTACGAATAGAGGGTGTATTTGCTGGTAATCCAGCATTTCTTAAACCCATCCTTATAGAACTGGATCAGCTGCTGACATGGGTACCCAGCCCAGTGGCTGTAAGCTCAGGGGGTCCACTCCACCCTAACGAGAAGAGGGAGGAAGCTAGTGAGGGAAGAGCATCAGGAAGCCAGCAACATGTGTAAACCGGGTCTAAAGAGCTCCAGTGAATAATACGTGGACGGTGCCACCCGTGTCCAGCCAAGATAGATTGGAGGTCTTTTTGGAGATGATTCCAATAAAGCCTTCATCCTCACCAGGTTGCTGCATTCCCCCCAGCATCCTCAATGCCTTATTGGCTGAGGTGGCTCAGGAGGGCGGCAATGGTTTGCTGGAAACCATGACAGGAACATTGGGAGCAAGGTTTTCTGACATCCTAGATCACATTATAAAAATAAAAATCTTTTATCCAGGAGTGTTTGGTCCTTGGTAGCCACAAGTTGCCTACCGATCTGCATACTGGTGCATTAATGTGTGTGAATGTCTAAAGAGCTAGGAGTAGGTTCGTGTGAGTAGAGCAGTCCTATATAGAAAACAACGGCAGGCCACACACACTGCTGAAGGCGCATCAAGGAAAACAGGAAATAAATCGAACAAAGTGCACCAGGGAAAATAAATTACCAAAATAAAACAGGAACAAAGACGAACACAACTAAACAAATGAGCTCTTCAACTCATGGCACTATTAGAGTTAAATTCATTTCATCACTTTCTTCATCAGTGCTGCATGGTGGCACAGTTGGTAGCACTGTTGCCTTGCAGCAAGAAGTTCCTGGGTTCGACTCCCGGCCGGGGGTCTTTATGCATGGAGTTTGCATGTTCTCCCCGTGCATGAGTGGGTTCTCACCGGGTACTCTGGCATCCTCCCACAGTCCAAAGACATGCCTGTTAGGTTAATTGGTCTCTCTAAATCGCCCTTAGGTGTATGAATGAGTGTGTGCATGGTTGTTTGTGTGTTGCCCTGTGATGGACTGGCGACCTGTCCAGGGTGAACCCCGCCTCTCGCCCATGGACTGCTGGAGATTGGCACCAGCTTCCCCACGACCCACTATGGAAGAAGCGGTATAGAAAATGACTGATTGACATTCTTAATCACTGAATATTTTCTTACAATACAAATGTTTTTAATATAACAAACAGGTATCCAAACTACAAAATAAAAGCATCAAACCAGCAGAGCCTCATTAACCAGAAGCCAGGGATTGATAAATGTATTTCTCAGTCTTTTATTCTAATCTCACAGTAATTTGTGTTTTATTGATATTTTAAAGTTTCTGAGACCCTTTAAACAGCAGCTGCTGTGCGACACATTTAACCTTATAATTAAACTTGAATTAATTACAAACTGGAGGATGTCTTGATAAAGACAAATGATTTCAGCTCACACTGCAGGGTGTCCACTGTACAGGTAAAGATTTGGTTTTTTGGTGTTTAGTAAAAAGGTTTGATGAAGCAGGGAGAAACAAGCTTACCCAGGTGCTAATGCAGCTAATCAATCAGCCAGCAAAGAAAAAATATCTCTGATTATTTTTAATAAACTCTCTCAAGTGGACAATAAAATACTTTTTAGTCTCTTTCTTGGTTTCTAACTAAAGGGCATACCTCCAATGATTGCATGGCATGACAAGTGTGGATATTTTTTAATCTTAGTTTAAACTAGGAAGTCATCACCCAGGGAACAGAAAAAACGTTTATTTGATAGAAATATGGAATACGCTCATCCAGAACATCCTTATTTAGCTTCTGGATGTAGACAAGGCTAAAATTATAGATTCTTCTTGTGTTAAATGCTTCAATCATGGCCTCAGCTTTTGCTTTATCACCACTTCAAAGTAAGTCTGGTTCTGGAGAAACGTCTTTGATGCTGACACACAACAAGATAAGCAACATATCAGACATGCTGAACACATAGAACCATGAAGGGGTTTAGTTTTCACTGCAGGGAAAAAACTCAAAGCTTTTAAGCAATTAGAATCAACTGCTATATTTTTATACAAACAGTCCGATGAGCAGGTCCCATTTTCTAGATACACAAATGATGTGGATATATACACTAGTCCACACCTTTACTGATGAAAGGGTTTATTTATCAACGCAAAATGAAACTAGAGGGCAAAGATGCGAATAATGCAAATAACTGATTATCTTCTGACTGTTTTCTGGTTTTCTGGTCAGTTTCTGTCATTCTTCAGACAAAAACACAAGAGTCAGAGTCTAACCACAGAGCACAGTGTTAACTACTTGTCATAAAAAGTCACAAATGACTCTGATCAACAGTTTAACACTTTGGATCTGTAAATGAAACCATTTTCCTTTCAGAATGTATTGTATTGCTGTTATGTTTAAATGTGTTTGAGTTTTGTTTTGGGTTTTTCTCTGATTCTGATTATGTTTTTCTAGTTGGGTTTTGGATCTTGCTTCCGATCATTGTTTCCCAGGTGGTGCTTTAGTTCATTGCTTAGGTTTAGTTTCTTATGATTCTTGTATTGTGTTTATAGTGCATTTCATTTTATGTTCTGCTTTATCTGTAAGATGTTCCTTAGGTTTGACTGTGTCCTTGTTTTCCTGTTTAGTTCCAGCTATGTCTTGTTTCCACTCCCTACCACAGTCAGCTTGCTATCAGCTTCATTCAGTCCACCTGCAGTTTGTCAATCAGTGTCCTTGCATCACCTGTGCCATGCCTCCATATATACTCCTCATTTCTCCTCCATTTCTGTTTGTTCCTTGCTGGTTTATTCATCTTATCTGCTCTGCTGTCCATAACTATTTTTTCCAAGCCATTTCCATGTTCGAGCCTTTTTGTCTCCACTCCATTTTTCCGTTCATCTCCTAACTGCCTGTAAGTTTTTGTATATTTATTAAACCTTTGTATTTTCAACAATCTGCTTCTACCGGTCTGCATTTGGGTCCACTCCAAGAGCCATTCCTGACAATTGCTTTCGAATTCATTCATCTTCTGTGCTGCTGCTATGTAAGGAACATGTTTAAAGGGAAACTGATTGAATAAAAGATTCTCTGTTTTTACTTTATAGAAGATTGCCCCCATTAAAAAAAAAATGAGATCCAGCTTTTCCCTCGTATCCAAAACATTTAACCCGATATAAAGTCAGTAAGCAGAGGACATATGAGAAATGTAGAGGTTATCTCAATGATAAGTCTGAATGTGGGCTTTTACTGGGCGAGCTGACTGGCTGTTGTGGAGCATCTACTGTGCTTTTGTCTTTAGAAGCACTATATGTAATTGGTACAGGAATTGCTAATTGCATATTGAGAGAGGGTGAATTTAGATTGACTTTAGCTATTTAATATTTCAGAAACTGTTTTAATAGTTCTGAAAGTGCTGGGTTCAAGCTCATTATACACCAACATTTGTCTGCATTCCTATCTTAGGAGCTACATTAGTTGCTTGAGGCACTTAAAGCCCATTAGTTACTCACTGTGTCTTTTATTTCTATTAAATATGCGGGCTTGATCAAAACATGGTGGTTTTACTGGTAAAAAATATATTATATGCACTATATTAAGTTCATTTAACAAAGAAATAAACAGTTAAATTGTAAAATTAACATCTAGACAGTTCCCACACCCACAGTTTTACAGAAAGATCCACAAGAATAGATTTAAAACTGTAAGGTCCTTCTGTTTACATTGGGCCCAGCCAAGAGAGGAATTACAAAGACCTAACTACACATAGAACAAAGAGACTGGTAAAAACTCTGAATCCCAGAATGCGCAGTATTAAGCTATTTTCCTGCACAGCTCCCAGGAAAAACGAGGTACAGCTCACATATTCTTTTTGTTTGCCCTTAGCTCTCTTCACAGCATTGGGGAGGATACAAACTTGAACATCTTGATCTCACTGGCCTGGTAAAAGATTGCATCTTCGAAGGAACCTTGGATTTAAAGTAAAGTACATTATGCTGTGTGTGTATCCAGTGACTGTAGCCCGGCCAAATAAACAGAAAAGCTGCCTGAATCTAGCTGTTCTGAGCTCCTGTAGAAAATAATCTGAAAGAATTATAGATTCCCCCAAGAAGAGACGGATTGTCTCTAATTACGAAGCGGATTTCCCTGTAAAATGCAGGTTCACTTAAGAGGTTGTGTCTGGACTGAGAAAACTGGTTTAGAACAAAACAATTGAAATATAGTTTATTTTTTTTTAATTTTGCTTTGTTTGTGGTGCTAAACTCTTTGAGGGCTGACAGGCCACTGACCCTAATACTACAAACTTGTTTTGTAAAGTTCATGGCTGGTAAAGTGTCACTTTTATTGTTTTTTTTTTCTATTTCTTATCATATTTCAAACTCTTTCTTAATAACTTCTGCATGAAGTATGTTTATATAGTCGTTACAAACATTCTAAATGGTGACTCCGGTACCTCAGCTGCTAACGCTAATGCTAAAGCTCTGCTAATGCTAAGCCACCATTGGATATGCCGTGTTTACTTCACAGCTTATTCTGTTTGTGCTGTGATCGGCCATAGCACGCCGCCAGTGCTCGTACATACAAGGTACATATAGAACTTAAAGAGGCTGCCTTCAAGGAAGAAAATAATCAATAAGTTGATAATTAAAGCTGGTAGAAGTGACCTGGGTTTGGGAGGAGTATAACAAACTAAGGCTGGCATCCATCAGGTTGGACTATTATCCGAATTTGGCCCCGTTTACACAACAATATTTTTAACAGAAAATTTTTGTTCTGTTTCTCTTGTTTGTCTATATAACAGCGACTCACATTTTCTCTGACAATGGCAGGATTTGAGAATGGGCTCCAGAGTGTAACAGTTTGAAAACTACCGGTCTTCATTGTCCTTTAGACAGAATAAACAGAATATGCCTGTATGGGGGAGCCCTGGCAAATGTGCAGTATGACTGCAATCAGTAGATTGCTGCGCATCAGTAGTATACTGCGCATGTGCACAGCTTAACGACTGCCAACCAGCTGCATTATGCAGTTCAGAGCAGAGGCAAACTACTCAACGTTTGACCCTGCCATGGTTTGTAATAACAAATGCGAGACTAGTGTACTGATAGAGCCGGCAACATTCAGTTTTGATATGAAATCTAGATGCATTGGTTCTAACATGTTTGCATTGGTAAAATGTAGGACTCTTCTTCCTGCTGGTCTTTGAGCATTACAAGTGCCTCAGTAGTGACGTTTAGTGTTTGGGAAGTGGACTGCAGCAAGAGTAACAAAATAAATAAAAGTGTGCTGTGCAAAGTTTGTTTCACTATAAATATGTAGATCAGGTAGCCTACTCTCTGTAAGGCATGCTGGTTAAATAGAGTTCTCTGAGCAATGTGCAGACATGTGTACTGTTCTCATTTAACACATAATAAATTAATTCAATAATCTAATATTGGATTAGTTTAGACATAATGCATTTGTTTGTTTATTTGTTGTTTTTATTTAGCAATCTAACTTTAATATTGTTTCAGATGTGTTTCTAGTAAAAGGTTAACTTAAATTTCTGGTCCCTGGTTAAGCTTTCTTCCGTATGATCAGTAAGCTTAGTTTAACATATACAAACAACACATTTTGAACAGGAAAATGTATCTAAATTGCAATATAAAACTTAAAATGTGTAAACCAAACTAATCTGCTGGTTTTGCCCATGCAGAACTGTCAGTACATCTGCCTGTTAAAGTTACAGTTATTGGATTTTTTGTAATAATTAACAGTAATGATTATAATTCTACCAACAAACTCCCTGAGATTCAAACTGGAAGAAAATCACTGATCCATTATTTAAACTATTGACAGATTATTTTAATGTTAAAATGTGAAACTTCCAGCTGTAATGACTT